ATCTGTTGAAGTCCTAACCCCAGTACCTCAAAATATGGCTGTATTTGGAGATGGGGCTTTTACAGAGGTGATGGCATTAAAATGGCTCACCTCTGTGCCTTTGCACATGCTGTTCCCTCTGCCTGGAATGCTTTTCCCATTGCTCCTATTCAGGGCTTCTAATCATTCTGTGCTTATCATCATGATGGTAAACGGTACCTGTTTCTACCATGGCATTTATACTTTCAATTGTCTCTATGTGTCTGCTGGAAGCTTCTTGAGGGCAGGGTCCGTGTCCTCCTCTGCTTTGACTCCTAATTCCGAGCACCAGGCTGCCCAGAGAGGCACCCACAGACACCAGCTGGCTGAGGTTAGGGGATGCGGTCACCATGGTGGGACTGGAGAGAATGTTCTAGCCTTAGAAGTAGATCCTAAGCCAAGAAATCTTCTGCCTCCTGCTCAGGGCTCAGGGTGGCGGTGGCAGGTAGAAGAGAGAGGCCCAAAGTCCCTATTCTCGGGGACAGCAGTGTGGCAAAGGGGGAGGCATAGGTGCTGGGTCAGGGCACCCCGCATTCACTTCCCAGGGTGTGTCTTGGGCACATCATAACAAGTCTCTGGGCCTCAGTTTCCTCATCTGGGACATGGAAACAACCATTGCTACCTCAAGTGGGTGTTGGGAGACTCAGATGTGGTGGCACCCTGGCAGTGTGGGACACAAAGGGATCCAGATTGCCTGTTGGCTGGAGGTCGAGGCAGGCAGCAGACCAGAGACAGACAGCTACTTGCCTGTGGTCACCCAGGAAGCCGGCTGAAGGAGGGGAACCAGCTCACCCCATCAATAATTAGCAGCTGGCTCACAAAAGGTGCTCCCATCGGTGGCTGGCTTAGAGGCGTGAGCGAGAGGCCAGTCAGACGTGGCCGGGAGGCATGGAGAACAGAGGACTAGACTCCGGGTGAATTCCAGTGGGCATTCTCCAAGGGTGAGGTCACCACCTTTAGCTCCCCGGGGGCTGCCGGAGCCACCGGCACCACTGAGCTAGCTCCAGAGCAGGAGGGGGTGGTGGTAGGGATCAGAGCCGAGACACAGAACCAAATGTAAGACCCACAGCCTGGCACAACAACCAGCCCCTCCCCTGGTGAGGTGCTGGGGCCCTTATCTCGGGAAGCCTGGTGTTTCCTGTTTAAGATGTAGCTCAGAGTCAGGGGAAGCTGGGGGGAAGGGGAAAGCAAAGCAATGAATGCTTCTTGAGCGCCTGCTGGGTACCAGAATGTTTAATCCTCGGATGGCCTCATTCCCTCATTCCGTGGTGATTGCTATTAGCCCCAGTTTGCAGATGATGCAAATGAAGCTCGAAATGGTGAAAAGCCTTGCCCCAGAGAGAAAGTGGTGTGGCTAATGGGTAGGAACACAGGCCCTTTGGAATCAAAGACATCTGAGTTCAGATCTGAGCTCTGACTCCGATCATGGCCAACTTAGCTAAGCACTCTGGGCCTCAGTTTCCTCCTCTGTAAGTTGGCGATGGTGGCAGTGGCCACTTTCTGGGCTTGTCAGGAAAGCTCAGTGAGAGGATGCAGGTAACGCCCTCACTGAGCGCCAGCCTTCATCATCCCCATCTTGCTGATGTAAGCTGAGCCTCAGGATGGTGAGGCAATGTGTTCGAGACCACAGGCCGGGTGGTAGCAAGATTAGAACTCGAACCCAGATCTCATTCTTCCTGCCCTACTTATACCACTGTGCAGTGGCCGGTGGTGGCCCTGGCTTCCAAAAGGCTGTTAAGAAGTGGCTGGAGAGGGGAGGCTCCTTGGAACAACCAGTGGCCCAGATTTCCGGCAGAGCCACGGAAGCCAGTCCCGGGGACTGGGGTTCAGGGTCACGCCTGCAGCCAGTGTTCCAGGCAGCGGAGAGGAACTGCGAGAGTGTGCCTGGAAGCCTGCCTTGTCCACAGCATCCTGCCCTCCACCGACATTGTTCTCTGGACCCTCCCAGCCCAGGGCCCGCACATTAGGGATTTCCGGCAACCTGGCCAAACCACCTTCGAGTTCCTGAGCAGCTTTCCCTGGGTGGCTGGGGTGGGGGGGCTGAGCTGGCCCGGCCCCTTGCTCCGGGCAGGGCTGGCTGGGAATGGCACTGGCACAGCCCTGACAACATCTCCTTGACCCACACGTCCTGGCCCCACAGACTGCCCTTCTCAGAAACACAGCTGCTCTCCTCACTCCCGTGACGAAAAGGCCGTGACTCATTTTCACCTTAGGGTTGGCTGAAGTCAGGGCACTTGGCTCCAGGTCCCTGACAAACACACTGTGACCTGGGCAAGCCACCTTCCTCCCTGTGCCTGGACGATGCCCTGGGTCCCCTTGTGCCCCGACATTCATTCAGGGTGACCCACTGCCCTTTGCTCTGCTGTCTTAGAGCATAAGCTTCTTGAGGCTGAGGTCAATTTCCCTCCCATGTTCGTATGTTGAGAGGGAACCCATGTTAGTGACCACCATTCAGCCATCTAAATGCTTCTAAGACCTGCGAATGCTCTTGGTGGTGAGCATTCCTATTTAGAACGGCATCTTGATCGTTCTGCTGACGTCACTCTGTGCTCAGCCTCCTCATCTGTGAAATGGGGAGAACTGCCTGGCCAGAAGAGAGGTGGGGGGGTCACAGGAGAGAACACGAGTAGAGGAGCCAGCACGGCAAACTCAAGTTTCCAACTTTGCCTCCCACCTCAGGTCAACTGGATAAACTTGGCATCAGAGGAATAAATGTACAGAAGCCACGACCCAGGACATCTTGAGGCTGAGGGGGAGCCCCTTTCCAGGGCTTTCAGGAGGTATCTGTGCTGCAGAGGGGCTGGGGGTCTCCCCCTGCCCCCCAGCAGGACTGCCAGCCCCTCCCACTTCCATGGGCCCGGGAGCCGAGGCACCCAGAGGGCAACAGTGGGGCCGACGATGCAGAGCCAGCAGCGTCCTGGTGAGATCAGCGCCGTGGAATTAGTCAAAGGGGATCACCCTGAGGATGCTGTGCTCACAGCCAGTGACTCATGCCACGAACAGCCTCACGGGCAGAGACTGCCAACCCGGGATGGCCGTGGCACCAGCTCACCTCGCCCTGCAGCGCACCTTTTAAGGAGAAGGAGCTCCGGGGCCTTTGCCAGCCCTTCTCCACACCTTCCCAGGGCGGTAGGAGGGGCCAGACCCCCCCCCAAACCCCGGGTTCAAATCGGGCAGCGTCACTTTCAGATGTGACCTTGGGCAAGTCAATTTCTCTAAACCGGTTTCTTCACTTGTAATATGGAAACAATACTTGTCTCACAAAAGAGGAATTAAATGAGGTAATGCATATAGAAAGTGCTTGGCAAAGAGCACCTTTTAAGGAATGGCAGTGGGGGACAGTGGAAAGGGCCTGGGTTCAGGAGTCAGGGCACCCAGCTTTGAATTCTGGCCCCAACCCTGCCTTGCTGGGCGTCTTTGAGTTACTCAACTCTGCATCAGCGCCTCTTCTGTAAAATGAGCTGACACCACCTGCCTTGGCAGCCTGTTGAGGGATTAGGAGCATCCACTACATTTTATAAGACGATGCGGGAAGTGCAGGGGCCAGCCCCGGTGCCTGTGGGCTTCACGATCTCAGACAGGGTCCCCCACCTTCCTGAGTGGGTCTCGTGTAAAAGTGAGCGAAGATGGTAACGCCGGCCTTGGGAGGCTGCTGTGGAGAGGTGCTTAGCACAGCGCCTGGCGCCCAGGAAGCGCCCTCTGAGCACCGCTGCTCTGAGTCATCTAACACACAGCTCTGGGCCTTTCTCCACGAATGCCAGTTGCTGGTTTATTTCCCTTCCACATGCCTTTGACAGATCGCAGGCCTGCGGCCTTCCAGAGGCCACAGGCCCTGCTTCAGAAACAACCCCACCCTCTTGCATCAATCACAGCAGCCTTCCCAAGGCAGTCCTGGGGCCGACCCCCTCAAGTCCCCAGAGGTAAGTCCTGGGGCCAACCCTTCAAGTCCCCGGAGTTAAGTCCGGCAGTTCCAGTAGGAACAGGCGAGCCACTGAGAAAAGCGCACCCAGCACCCCAGGGCCAAGGGGAAGGGTGTCGGGACACCCCTGCTATTTAAGCCCCACAGCTCCCAGGAAGCGGGCAGCCCAGCTGGGCAAGCAAGCCAAGGGGCAACTTGGCCACATTAGGGAGAAGGGGTGGGCTTTCCTGGCTGGCAAGCCTGGTTTGCCTGGCACCCTCCTCTGTGGGCCAGAGAGGCTGGGAACAGGACAGGGCAGAGAGCTTGGCCCTGAGGCCGCGGAGTTCCTGTGTACACCCAGGAAGGACAGCCAAGTTCCCTCAGGGTTGGGAGTGGGGGAGCGGCCCAGGTCTCCTGTAGGAGTGAGCACCAGTTAGAGGAGGAGGCCCCAGAGGATGGAGAGGGTCAGCTGTGAAGAGCCCAGGCTTCAGAGGCAACCAGGTCTGGGCAGAACCCTGGGCTCTGTGCCCTGTGAACCTCAGTGTCCTCATCTGCATAATGGGGACAACAAACACCCCTCTGCCTTACTTGTACGTAAAGGCTCCCCAGAACATGGGCCACCACTGACAACAGTATTAGTAACTGGAAGGGCTGGTCAAGGGCAAGAGGGTGGCAGAGTCAGAGGAGGAAACAGGGACAGCAGCCCAGCCTGGGCAGTGGTCACAAGTGCTCCCAGAGCCCAGACAGAACGGAAGCTGTCCACAGCACAAGCCCTAGTTTTATTGGTCTGGTTTTTTTCACAGTGAAGCCTCCTGCTCAGAGAACCAAAGGGCCAGATAAAGGTGAGGGAGGGTAGGGTCTTGGGCCTTCCAGAGTCAAGGGTGTGAGGATGTCCCCAGCCCGAAACATGTCTGCTGCCCTCGTGCCTGGGAGGAAAGGGGGACGCGGCTCCTTGAGGGCGGGGGTGAAGGTGGATACAGGGTAATTAGGAGCAGGGCCCAGGGTCTGTTCTTCATCGCGGGAGGTAGAAGGGATCACATAAAGTTCTTTATTACAGACCTACAAAAAATGAGAGAATTACATATTACTCTCACTTGTTTGGGTTTCTTTTTTCCTTCTTTTTCTTTTTACAAAACAGCAGCAGGAAAGAAAGATGTAGGAGGCAGATGAGCCAGGCACTGGGGTTCAGATTACAAGGGGCCAGGGGTACGAGGACTAAGCTGTCACCGCGGGCTGGCCCCAGCGCTCTGTCCAAGCATCCTGGGAGATGGGTGACAAGCCCTAGGGGGAGCAGACAAAGAGAGCGGGTGGGAAGACGGCTGTCCCAGCTCAGCGGCAGAACCACTCCTCGGGCGGCCACCCTCGCAGTCAGCTGGGTTGGGAGCATGTGCGGCTCCCATGTTTGGTGGCCTGGTCTCCAAAGCACAGGCCCATGGGGCCAGACAGAAGGGAGGAGGCAGAAAGGGCTGTGAGTTCTATCGGGGGCCCCCCGGGACCATGGGGCCCAGGCGGTCACGGGCAGTCAGGATGCTTCCCTGCTTGTCAGCCAATCAGCTTCTTCAGGAAGGCCTCCAGCTGGTCTTCATCCTTGATGCCCACAAACTTGTCCACCACGTCCCCATTCTTGATGGCCAGCACGGTGGGCACCGCTGACACCTAGTTGGAGGGGACAAAGGTGGCTGAGTCACTTGGAGGTGACCATTCATCCTAAGCCTTTGAGGAGGGGGCTGGTGGCTTCTGCAGGGCAGTGACTCCCCAAAGCCATGGGTGGGGCCCCTTCTCTTCGGGCAGGGGTACAGCAGGGCCTGGAGGCCCACCCACTGGAGAAACTTTTCCATTGTGGGCTCCCAGCAGTACCCTTCCTCCCCCAACCGCATGACTGACTCACTGTCCCAGTGGTTTGGCTGGAATGACAGGAGAGATGAAAATAACCCATGCAGCTGCAGGCTAGGACTGGGGGTGGGGAGGAGCTGAGGGGCTAAGAGAGCCTCCCTGGGGGGCGGCCTGCCACAGTGGGGACTGGGAGATGGGAGTCTGAATCCTGACCCTGTCGCCCACTAGCTGGGGGCCTGGGCTGGGTCACACCACCTTCGGAGCCTCGGTGCCCCATTCTGTGAGATGGGGATGACAGTCTCTATTGTGAGGGTTTAGGACAGGATTAAAGATTTGTATTTAAACTAAGTGGTCAAAATTCTGGGGCCGAATGATCCAATCTTGGGCCGCTCTGGGCAAGCCACTTCATTACGCCAAGTCCCGGTGTTCTCATCAGCAAATGGAGATACCACGGGGACTTAATATTAGAGGGCATGGGTGCCGAGCGAGATGATCTACGCAGGGTCTCCCGCACAGCGCCTGGCACACAGTGAGTGCCCAGCAAACAGAGGCTACAGAGGGCACATCACGGAAGTTGGACCCAAGGCCCCACTGGGGTTCCTGGTGAACAGGGCCCAGAAATAAACGGACTCGTCCCGGGCAGGGTGGGAGGCGGGGCTCAGCCTGTGCGACGTGATGCTGATTTATTAGGGCCGTCGGACATTCTTGGCCTGTGAAGCATTTTCTCAAGCTCCCTCAGGGGACCGGTAGAGATTACACGGCATGTAAATGAAGCCCCAGACCTGCTCTGACATCGCATTTTCTGCTGCCTGGGCTCCCCGCCTGGCACTTGGGGGCATTTGAAAAGAACCATGTAAACAGAACAAGATAAGCACAGACTTTTTTCTTACACACCAGTTAACTACAAAGTAACAACAGCAATTTCCACAAACATACCAGGTCTTCACACATCCTGAGAGCTGTCCTGCCCCTGACTCATCCTGGGAAGCCAGATTCAAGATTTAGAATGTTCGAATTGTGCATATGGGTTACAAAACAGAAGCGCAGGCCTGACCTCTCTCACGTCTCAGATGCCACTGCCACTCACGATGCGCCCCTCTCCTAATGGGCTTTGGGGACAAACACAGCAGGTAAGAGGATAGTGCCTTCAGGCCCCTTCAAGGACTGTCCTGGCGCTGCTGTGGGTGGCAGCTGACACACTGCCCAGAGGTAGTGCATAGGCAGACCCACCTGGTGGTGGACTGACCACGTGTGTCCCTGCTCATGGCCCCATCACTGGCTCCTGTCCTTGTCATTCCTGACCCTGGCATGGGTGGTGGCATGGAGTGCAAGGGCCCAGTACGTGGCTGCCTGGTCTCCAGGCCCAACTGGGGCCTGGGCTGCTTTGTCTTTTACGCCCTCTAGTGGGCGGTGGAGGCAGCGGCCTCACATCTGGCAACTCTCAATCCAGGCACAAGGCTCAGGCAGCAACTGTTAACTTCGCACTTAGTGGACGCCATGTTCGCCTGTGCTGAAATAAAAGCTGGATGTCAATCAAAGTCTAGTCACTACCGATCAAGGGTGTTCTTTGAAGTTTGAGCCTAGACACACACACACACAGCCATGGGTTTGCCAGAAGCTGGCTCTCCCAGGACACCGCAGGGATACCTGGGCTGTGATTGGACTTTCCTCCCCCACAAGGAGGAGGATGTGGCTTTACTGATCCTGAGTTTGGCTCACAAATCAGGATGGGCTGGTGCTTGTAAACACTGCCTTAAATGGAAGTGCATAGGTCCCTGGCACATTCTTCTGGAACAGCGATGTAAGTGTAAGGGGGCTGAGGTGGAGCAAGAATTCAGCTTGCCTCTCAATTCTGGCGCCACTGAGGGAACAGAGGGGCCGGAGATGTGCTGATCTCCGGGTGTGTGTGTGTGTGTGTGTGTGTGTGTGTGTGTGTGTCTGTGTGTTCGTTCTCTTCTCACCAACCTGCTGCCCACCCGCCCACACTGCCACTGAGCTCAGTAACTATATCCCATCTCACCCCCATTTCCTCCATTTGTGAACTGCTAAGGATCTACCAAGGGACAGGCACAGCACTCGGGGTCACAGGAGATTGGTGACCTCCCCCTTGGCTAACTGCAGCACTAACACAAAGGACAAGGTCACTGTCACCCCAGTTGCCACATACTGGTGCTTTTTAAGTGTCAAGGAGAATACAGGCCATTTGCATGTGCTCTCTCATACATCCCCGCCTCCAGGAGGGCTTATTTTAGAGATGAGAAGACTGAGGCTCAGAGGCTGAGTGACTAAGTGGTAGAACTGGGATTTGAAACGAGATTTGTTTGACTTCACTGTCATGACATCAAACTACGCTGTACCTCTGCCCAAGAGCAAGGAACTGGAGTAAATACTGAGTCCCAGCAGGGCAAGGAAGGACATGTCAGGAAGCATTAAAAGGACTTCATGCTTCAAATGAGAAAGGCTAAATGCTTTGTAGAGCTTTTGGATACAGGATGATCCTTGGAGAAACTATTACTGAAAAAACCAAATCCAACTATGATTCTGGAGACGGCAGAATTATGGAGACACTAAGAAGATCAGTGGTTGCCAGGAGTCCAGGGGGAGGAGGGAGGAAGCGGCGGCGCACAGGGGATTTTTAGGATGGGCAAACTATTCTGTACGATACTGTAATGGTGGATACATGTCGTTACACTTTTATCCAAACCCATAAAATGTTCACCTCCAAGAGTGAACCCACTTGCTGACAGGCAGCCTGTGCTGAGATGGCCGGTGAGAGGGGCTCTAAAGAGAGAAGCACCTCTGCTGGTGGGTGCAGCTCAGTGGTAGAGTGCTTGCCTAGTATGCATGAGGTCCTGGGTTCAATCCCCAGCACCTCCATTAAGAAATAAGTGACTAAACCAGTTACCCTCCTCCTAAAAATCAAAACGTTAAAAAAAAAGAAAAAAGAGTGAGCAGCACCTCCCCTAGAAGGCCAGCCCAGAGAGTCAGAACTTTCGCTCCTTGATGTTTGGTCCTGGACTCCCACCAGTGGCATCACCTGAAAACTTGACAGAAATGCAGAATCTCAGACCCTTCCTGAACCCACTGAATCATAACCTGCTTTTTAACTATATCCCAGGTCACAGTCATGTCTGAAAGGGCTGATTTAGAAGACTTTCAAAATTGGGGGAATATGGTAATGACTGAAGTACAGTGCATCCCAGCTACACATCGTTTCAATAATCTTGAAATACTATTCAACGAACTGTCTGTGTATAAAGTGATACGGACCATTAAACAAATTCAAGTAAAAACCCAAACAAGGTACCGCAAATGTTCACAGTGATTTGTTTGGACGGTAAAATTATTGCTTTTTGGTGGTTTTTATAATGCTTTTTAAAGGGGATTCTCTGTAAGACAAGAAAAGGATAAAACTCCAAGTGTGAGGTCAGGAGCAGAAGCCCCAGAGCAAAGTATTAAGGGTCAAGGGTCCACACCCTGATCCACTCTTTCCCACCAAGGTCTGAAGGACTAGGGAATGCCCAGCCACTCAGAGGGAACCCGAGATGACAGGGCAGACTCTTCCCTCCATGGAGCCAAGGCAAGTGTGCGTTTGGGGGGCACCCCAATCCCCTGAGTGACTTTCCCTTCCCTCTCCTCTGGGAAACAGTGAAATTCTAGGGTGGACAGTTGTTTGGAGCATAAAGAGTGGTGGGAGGGGAATGTGTGTGAGGAAGGAGGCTCATCCCAAGGGTGCGTGCTGGGCACCGGGGGTGGCAGGAGAGCTTGGGGAGAAGCACCTAATGCCCTGAATATAATTTAAAGCAGTTTCTCCAAGTGCATCCACCTTTTGGGAAAGGACTTCAGGCCTCGGAGGAAGCTGTCCCAGAAGGTACCATGGACCTCTTGCTGAAACTTATTCTGCAGGCTCTCTTCCAAAAGAACAGGTGTGAGGAAGGAAGGGAAGGGGTTGGGGTGGGGTCAGGAAGAATCCCCGCTGGAGCTTCCTAAGCTCTGCGAAGACATCAGCCAGGGCTTGGCCAACCCAGAGGCAGGGCCCCGCAGCCTTGAGGTCTCTCCATATGACCTGTGTACTATCTGGACAGTGGACAGATGGAGAAGATCCTACAGGAGGACCCCGCCCCCTCACCACACACACTCCAGGCTTAACTGTAGGACTTCGGAGCCTGGCTCTATGTCACCTGGAATGCAGGCTCCCTAGAATGCAGGGGGGCTGGTTTTGGAAATCTCACCCCACCCCTCCTCATGTGACCACAGCTGGGGAACCGGGTTATTCTCTCTTGCCTCCTTATGGTCACCACAGTTCCTGGTACACAGAGGGGCTCAGGACATGTCTGCTCAAGGCCCAGTGGCTGAGGCTGAAGCTGTGTCATCAGGCGGTGCCAGGAGGGAGTCTGCTCGCCACCCAGGGGACGCCAAGCAGCTCCGGCTCTCAGCGCACACCAGGGAGCCACATGCTCACTCCCACAGCTGCTGCGGGCCTCTAGGGGAGGGATGGACAAGCAGTGAAAGCTAGCGGCCTCTAAATGGTCAGAGAAGTGCCCCCTTGACTGAGCGATCAGTGGAAGAGCTTTTAAAGAAAACAAATGATTCATTCCTTCTCTTAAGCCCGTGAGCAGCCCCCATCACCCAGTGCCATGGACAGTCTAACTTCAGTAATATCCCCTCAAACGCCTGCAGTCGTCATCAGCGGCTCTGCCTGCCCAGCACTGATCTCCTTGGCCTCTGGTCAGGGAGCCTGGTTTCCTTTGGGCGAGTGCTCCCAGCCCAGCTCCTGGGCAGCCAGCCTGTTCTCACCTCTGCCCATTTCCTGCCAAGCGGACCAGCTGCAGGATGGGCATCTCTGTTTGACTTGGCCTAGAGAGGGTTGAGCCTGGACTTCCAAACTTGGAGAAAGACAGAGGCCACCTCTTTTTAGTCACTTATTACCAGGGCGGGGTGAAGGTTCACCCTAGTCAGATTCAGATATTTTATTTATTTTAAGAGAACCAGAAACCCGGATTTTCACATGCAATCTTCTGAGTTTTAAATACCAGCATCCGGTTCAGCATTTTAAAAAGACACTTGAGGGCCAGACCAGTCATGTCAGTGAGCTAGATTTGTTTCACAGGCCACCAGGTGTGACCTCAGCTCTGTAATAACGCCGTCCTCAGCATGGCTATCCAGGCCCCTTCCAATGCGGCCGCAGTCGGCTTTCCCTGCTGCCTGTCCTCTCACTCCTTGCTTGACCCTTCACTCTGGCCTTCCAGCCACAATGGACCTCTCCCCTTTCTTCAGCTACAGTGATCTCCGAGGCCCAGAGGAAGAAGCCCCACATCCCACACGTCTCCTGCTCCTCTTCCTCCAGGGCACTCTGCTTCAGGCATACAGGCTCTGATGTTCTGTGAGCAAACGTGTGCAACCCTGACCTCAGGGCCTTTGCACCTGATGTCTGCTCTGCCTGAATTGCTCTTCCAAGGAGCTGCATTGTTCATTCCTTACTCCCTCCAGATCTTTGTTCAGATGTCAGCTTCTCAGTTAGGCCTTCCCTAGCCCACCCTTTGAAAAATGAAACCTGCTCCAGCCCCGTGCCCAGCACTCCCACCTGTCTTCCAGATTTGTCCTCTTCCACAGCACTTATTATCTAAAACAGGCATCAGCGAACTGCAGCCCATAGGCCAAACCCAACCTGCTGCCTGTTTCTAGAAATGAAGTTTTACTGGCCCACAGCCACGCCCATTTGTTCAAGTGCTGTCGATGGCTGCTCTAGTGCTATGAGACAGGTGAGAGCACCAGAGACCAATGCTCTGCAAAGCCTCAAATACGTACCACTTTGACCTTTGGAGAAGAAGTTTGCTGACACGCAACCTAAAATACTAGCACGTAGGCTCCATGAAGGCAGGGATTTTGTCAGTTTTGTTCACTGCCATCTCCGCAGCACCAAGTAACAGCCCTGGCATTTAAGGAACTCTGAATGCATGTCCGTTGAAGGAACGCACGAGCCAGTCAAACACAGGAGACCAACTCATGTCTTTGGGTTTGCTGTGCTCTCACCCCTTCCGTCTTCTTGGTGCATCCTTTGTGGCCCTGCCCAGGGGGTCCCTCTAATGTGACACAACCTTGTCCCCTCTACGCCCCACCCTGCCCCGCCAGGGACAAGCTCATCTTATCTGTGCCAGAATCATGCATGTCTGGCTCACAAATGGATGGATGAATCCACCAGTGAAGGAAGGCATCAGTTTCCTGAGACTCAGAGAACAACCTGGTGTTTTGGGTCACACATCCCACTTCCTAAAGGTGGTGAAGAGAGACAGGTGACTCAGAGGATCAATGGAGTCACTTTTGCAAAGAGCTCTGAATTCCTGAGATCTCTAGAAAAAAATCAAGACACCCCCTTACCAACTCCCTGGTGGTCTCCAAGACATTTCTCGCACCAGCTGTCCTGTACCAATCCTTGCCAACCCGTACCTCATACTCGATGGCGAGGTCCGTGTGGTCGTCAATATCCACCTTGGCCATCACCACCTTCCCATGCTGCTTGGCCACCGCCTTCTCTAGCCTTGGCCCCAGGATCTTGCAGGGACCACACCACCTCGCAAAGGGAGAAAGAAGCATCTCGTCACAAAAGCGCTCACCAATCAGTCTATGGTTTCCCAGGACCTTCCCTTGCCCCGTGTCTTTTGAGGGACCTTCTGCCCTCATTACCTCTGCTTATAGTGTCTGAATATTAACGAATGCTGACATGCTAGTTAATGTCAGGATACTCTGCTACTGGGGAATTTTCACAGGTCCTAGACTTCTAAACACAGGCCTCATCCTAAGACTGTTAGAAATGTTATTTCACTATGTCTAAAAGAAATACACTGTCATACAGATGAATATGGGATTTGAAGTTAAAAGGTTTGGGTTCAAATAGAGGCTCCTCACCAACCAGCTAAGTGCTCTGGAGCCTCAGTTTCCTCATGTGAGAGAGAGACTCTAGCTTAGAGCTGCGATGAGAAATCAACTAAGGCAACGTCGACAAACGTGTTGCGTAAGCTGCAGAGTTACTCCAAGCACCTCATGGACCCAGAACTAAAGGGAGTGGCAACCAATGGCTAGGGAGTGTCTGCAACATGCCCGTCACTGCTCTAGGACCCCCACAGCTTTTACTACACAGAACCCTCAGCTCTGCAAAGGGAAAGCAAACATCTTCCTAAGAAACTGAGGCCCGTACAAGTTACGAGACTTGCGCAAGGTCACAGAGTAAGAAGCAAAGCTGGGACTGCAGCTGAGTTTGGGTTCCAAGTGTCTTCTTTTAGCTGCCGGTTACTCTGTGATTCCCCAAGTCCTGTGTCAACTGTCATCACTGCACTGAACACAGGTGTCCCCTCTAGGTGGTGAGTCTAGGCTGTCATCCATAAATACGTGGCACTAAGGACAGTGCCTGGCACTGAATGAATACACTCACCCTCTGCTTCCTTGCTGGGGAAGACGATGAGGCATCACCCTACTTATCACTCATCTTGGAAGCCCTCTCTGGTGTGCTCACGAGACAGGAGGGCAGGACAGCTCCACCTTTCATGAACCCCCAGTGACTCCTATTTTATTTTAGCCTTTAAAACCCTTTGCATTCAGAGATTTCAATTAATAAACTCACAACACCCCAAAACCCAGTCTGCAAGATCTTATCTCCTATCAGTGAAGAAAGGGAGGCACAAGGACATCATATGGCCTGCCCCAGCAACACGGTGAGTCAGAGAAAGAACAGGAAAGAAAACAAAAGAATCTGTCAGTGGTTTGCCCAGAAGGCCTTCTAACTTCTAACTCAGGCTGCACTGCCTCCTTTCAGGATGCCTCATTCTGAGGGCTCTGTCCAGTATTTTTGGAACCAGGTGTCTAGCCAGGCCCCAAAGGTCTGGAAATGAAGAAGGCCAGGCCAACAATCAGAAGGCCACAGGCATTTAAATATCCCTAAAACAAAACAAAACAAAACAACAACAACAAAATCCCTAAAACAAACTCAGACAGCACTGTAAAGAAACGCTTGCTCATCCCCTGCATGCTTGGGCACCACCGTGGCAGCACTGATAACTTCTTGCTACCCCTTCTCAGTTTGGGTGGCAAGATGTTAAAATAAAATCAACTGTCTGCAGGGCCGGGAACTGGTATACACAACAAACCAGATGATGGTATAGTCATATTTTTCCTGTTTTGGTCCAAGCTGAAGATGACTCTGACCCATCTGGGCTGTGAGATACAGAACACACGTGTTTCCCAGCACTAATCACAGTGAGCTTTGAAGACTATTTACTAGCTGTCTCCTACCAGCCTACGCTTAATCTTTGAGAGCAAGGACTGGGTCTTGTCAACGTTTGTATCTACGTATGAAAAGCATCAAATGTAGTACTGAGGCATAGCAGGCACCTGAACAAGTGACACCCTAGTTTTCAGCTGACCCCCAGGACTCACTGTGCATGGAAATCCACAACCACTGGCGTCTCACTGTTGACAACTCGGTCTTGAAAGTCAGGTCCATCCTGGATGTTAAAGGTTGTTGTACAGGCTCTTGTGGTGTTTATTGACCGGGCTTGGCTGGGTGTTACTGTCAGGTTACTAGGACTGTGCTGCGGGGTCTGCAGGGCCCTGGAGGTGAGGGGGGCCCACTGACCCTGAGAAGGCTTCCTGGAGATTACCGAGGCCAGGAACCTCCTCAGGAGAAGTCGCTGAGCCATCTGTGAGAGGAAGAGGCAGAAAGAGTGGGGACAGACAACAGGAAGTCAACACACCAGAAAAAGAAAGGTATGTGGGCGTACTGGGGGGCTGGAGTTACAGAGCCAAAAGCAAACTGTCAGGAATATATAAGATTTCTGGAGTAAAAGTGAGCAGAGAATGAGAATCAAAGGGAATAAGGAATCACAAACCAGGACAGGAAAACTGGATCAACAACCAATAAAATCAAAATACTGGTGCAATTACAACAGAAGGAAGGGAGGGAGGAACCAAAATTTACAGAGCACCTGCTAAGAGCCAGGTGTCTTACCTTACAGTAGTCCTAGATCAACCCTGAGGAAGGTGCTATAATACTACTGCTCATATTATGACTCCGAGGACCCTGAGGCTCAGGTAAATTGTGACATGCCCAAAATAGCCCAAGTATTAAATGAGGGTCAACAATGTAACCCACAGCGGTCTGAAAAGCCCTTTTATAGATTACTCTTTTAAATAGTGTTTTAACGGGACAGTAAGGCTAAAGAGGGGTTGTCAAAAGATCAGGAAAGAGGAGCCGCAAGAATTCGAGGAACGAAGAGGTAGGGGAGCAGGAGTGTTGGGGGGAACTAAAAAAGCAGGGACGTGTGTGTAGAGGGAAGTGGGGAACTGGACGCCACCAGAGACCCTGGCTCCTCGGATGGCAGGTTCCCCCCGCCCGGGGCCTCCACCCGCTCGGCCGCCGGCCCGCACTAGAATGCGCCCGCAGAGTGCCTCAGCCGCGACACCACCTCGAGCCACCCCCACGGCCCTCCTACCTCCCTGCAGCGAGAGTGGAGGGATGCAGAGTTCGGCCCTCCCCACCAATCAAGGGCACTTCTTCCGTCACTTCCTGGGGGCGGGTCTTGCGTCACTTCCGGGGAAGGCAACCTGGAGCAAGTCCCGGCAACTTGAGGCGGGGCGAGGCGGAGCCTCAGTGAGGGACCGGAAGAGAAGTGCTCGGAGTTAAGAGAGACCGGAAGAGGGGCGGGCCCTTCGGGGAGTGACCGGAAGAGGGGCGGGTCCTTGGAGGAGGGAGCGGAAGAGGTAAGCGGGCTCCCGAGGAGGGTCGGGAAGAGGAGGAGAGGGAGGCGGGGCCGCTAGGGAAGTACAAGCAGAAGAAAAGGGCAAGAAGGTGGTGTGGTTCCAAAGTTTGCCAAGTCTTGCTGCCTTATAGGTCAAGCAGCATCGCCCACTCCTCTCTCACTGTCTTCGAACTTCTAGAGTTGGTGACAGTTTTTTCCCTTTATTTACAAATGAGGAAGCTAAGCTCCTGAGAGGTGTAGTGCTTCTCGGAGCAAAAGACTCTGTTTGGGAGTCAAGAGGACGCTTTGTGGACTTTGTCTCTCACGTGCGACTCTATAACCTCGTGGTTTTGGGCAAGTCACCCTGCCCCTGGGGTCTTCAGTTTCCCAATACGTGACATGAGAGGCTGGGCTTGTCCTGCATCCAGACCTCTCAAGCCTGTCTCTGGAGTTACTGGGGAACTAGGCCCAGACAAGATATAGTGGTGCTACTTGGAGGGCCTGCCTTTGAGGCCCCAGGTAAAGTGTGGTTACTTCAGCATCTTCTTGGGCCTGGGCCTTCCTTTCACACCTCTTGTCACTGTCATGGACAGGCGTCTAGGCACCTGTGTGTCTCAGGCTGCTGTCTCTCTGCACCCTGTACCTTACCTTACAACCAGTCATGACCTGATACAGTTCTGTGAATACATAGATGCCTTTTCCCTCCTCCTTGCGTTTGCTTAATTTGAAATGCTTTTTTCTGTTCCATTTGGTAGAACACCTACTCATCACCTCTTTGAGCAGCATTCATTGCCTCCTTCTGTCTAGTGCTTTGTCCATAACTATTACATAACACATTGCACAGTGTCCATCTCTTCCACTAGACCATATGCCTCCTGAGAGAAGGGATTTGTAGCTTTTGTATGTCTCCAAACCTCCATTTGAACCTACATGCCAGCCACTTAGAATCAGAGTTTCATAGTTTGCTCAAATGTCTCTCCCACCTCTGCACTTTGTAGTTGCTACTCCCTATAACTGGAAGGCTTTCCCCTCTACTGTCCATCTCAGAAAAATGCTACCAGATACCTGATGAGGCATCATCTCTGGGGATACCTGATCCTCCTCGGTGGGAGCAGATTCCCTCCTCTGAGCTTCCGCAGCCCCTGTGCATCTGTGGGTCACCACGCTTAGTACTCTGTATTGCTGTTTCTTTATTCCTCACTCTATGCTGTCAGCACTTGGGGATCTTTGTCTCTCCACTGCTTACTTTAGGGCTTGGTACATTGTAGTAGGTGCTCAGTGATTACTTGTCCCATGAACAAAGAGCTGGGACCCAAATTGTGTTTTTGACTTCAGATATTGTTTCCCCCACCACATTACGTGGACCCATTGTGCCCTTCCAAAATTATTGCCATGTTTTCCTGCAGCTCATCTTGGCCATATCATGCTGTCATTTGTCCTCTGTCCAATTGGAAGGTTCATGCCCTCACTTCTCAGGCAGACAGGGCCACAGCTACAGCTGTACAGGGACTGTCTCCTGGGATGGGGTGAGGACTCCTTGGAACAGGCCCACACCCTGGCCAGCAGCAGCTGTGTCAGCCTTCCACTAAGGAGAGTCCCTTGTCCACCGCAGTCAGGAGACCGGGGAGGGCATGGGCAGGCATGGTCTCCTCCACTCTGTCTGATCCCTTACTTTTGCCTCTGTCCCTGCTGAGGACTGGAACCAACAGTGGTGATCCTCCTGGCTCTCCTGAGGTCAGCATCCCTCGGTGCAGCTGTTCCTGCTAATGCCAGATGCCATCTGGCGGCAGCGGAGGTGGGGGGGTTCCCACCCTGCTTGTTTTCATTTCTGTTTTTCTTTGTCTCTAGCACTTTCTTGTCCAGAGACTCTGATTAATCCTATTTAGCATTTCCGCAGTGTTTTCTGTGGAAGGCCAATCCCCTGATTAATTCACACTTCAAGTTCCAAAGGAGGACCAATCAGGTTTATCCTTTCTCCATAGTCACTTCACCTCTGTTGACCTCAGGCTTCTCAGCTGAGGACTGGGAAGAATGGTGCCTTCCTTATAGAAGGCTGTGAGGTTGCAGGAAGGACAGAGCACAAGGCCTGGCACATCATTAGTGCCTGCTGAATGAAGGCGTCCCCTTCCCACCTGCAGGGAGCAAAAGGCTACAAAGGGGTTCCTCAGCTCTCTGGTGGCTCGTCTGCCCAGCCGGCTGCTCTTGTCTGGCTCTGGCGCAGCCACAAGGCTGGCTCAGGGCACAGGTGTGAGGGGAGGGGAAGGAAGCCAGGGCTGGTGGCCTGAGCTTGGATAAAGCTCCTGCTACCACTTCCTGATATTTATGGCAGTGTTTTTCTGACCGCAGGATGTGAGCAACCAGTGGCTGTGTGAAATCGATTTAATGGGTTATGATCAGCTTAAAAAATCAGAACTGAAAATGTTATATAGAGTAGGTTGTATAAGTATTATTTTGTGAAATATTTGTTGGTGTTATGTCTATATATCTGTATGTCCTAGGTTGTGATATAGAATGTCTTTCTTGCTGTGGATCATGGTCAAAAGGTTTGAAAGCTACTGATATACTGAAGTTACTAAACACCTGACACTTCTAAAACACCCTACATGAATTAACTCATTTAATCCTGCAACCGTATAAGGTTATTACTGTTACAGCGCCCATCTTACAGATAGGGAAACTGAGACACATCGTGGTTAAGTAGCTTGTCCAGAGTCACTCAGATAGTAGGAGGTGGAAGCTTAAAGGTGATGCACTACCCCTAGCAAGGATCTGATAATGACTAGATCGCTACCTCTTTCCCGCTAACGCCTAGGACCAGCCAGCCCATCTAGGCCACCAGAGGGCAATGTGGGGCTCAAACCTAGGGGATTGCAGCTGGCGGCACAGCACTCAACAGTTTTTAGCAGTGGCTGTAAACGGGTGCTCACACTGGGGCAGTGTGGGACTCCCAGCCTCCTCCAGGGCAGGCCAGGCCACCAGCTTGGCACAGTCCCAGGATCCCAGCTCCCTCAAGTCTGCAGGGCACGTCTCAATGACTGCGTGTCCGAAGATTCCATGGCTGTGGGGAGGCACCTTAAAAAAAAAAAATGCAGAGAGAGATGGAGAGGGGCGCAGGGAAACCTGATAGTGAATTTCCCTTCAAAAAGTGTTGCTCCTAGAGTATCTTTGCTTTCAATCTCCATCTTGATGGTAATTTTTGCTTTTTGTGTGTGTTTTTAAAATGCTGTTGCAGAACAATTGGAACCATGACTTCCGTTTTGCAATTCAAGAAGCTGGTTTCAAGTGATTCCTGTTCTGTCGTGTTTCCAGCAATTACACAATATCCCCTCACCCCTTTCTGAACATGAAGACTTGACACTGGAACAGTAGCTTAACTCTTAACTCCTCTACTGGCAACTGCTCCCTCTCGGGAGGGTAGATCTGGAATGCTGTGGCTGTGATGTAGGTGGGCAGATGCTGGCGCCCTCCCTTGCCCACCCCGCCAGTGCCCTCAGCAGACACATGCAGGCTGGGGCACCAGTGCAGCTGGGCTCATTCTGGATCCCACCTGCTGTTGGGCTGAGGCTCCTCACAGGCTCCTGCCTGGTCAGGTCTGGAGGCTCAGATTCTGCTGGGCAGGGCAAAGCCTACAGCTGTGAGAGGCTGGGGAAGGGATGCAAGGAAGGACCTTTCCTCTTTGCCAAATGTCTTTGCCTCCTTCACCCTTTGGTATGCTCCTGCTCCCCGTCCGTGAACACGAGCAACTCGAGTGGAAGAATGAGCGCTGGGCCCAGAATCAGGACCACATGCTTCTTCACCAGTTCTGTTCCTAACCCACTGAGTGACCTCGGGCCAGTCGGTCAAACATTCTGGCTTTGTTCCTTCTCTGTATGAGGCTCTAACAGTGCTCACTCTATAGGAAGGTTAGGAACTTTCCTAATAATGAAATAATGGCCAGCACATCTGTGGTCCTTACCATGTGCCTCCTAAATGTTCTCGCACTTTTCATATTATTTCAACTCATTTTATCCTCACAGTAAGCAAAATACTATTATTTGTCACATTTTATAGATGAGAGAAACTGAGGTCCTGAAAAGATAAATAACTTACCCTAGATCATGAATCAAGCAAATGGCAGGGCTGGAACCCTCCCAGGCAGACTGGCCCCAGGAGGGGTATGCTTAACAACTTAGCTCTACTGTGTCTTTAATATTGTCTTTCAGTGAAACTTAACATGTACAAACTCTTCGAAAAGGTACCCTTTAATGTAAATATTAGGTCTTATTATAAGCTTGCCTTGAGGTGCAAATCTCAGACCTGTGCTGGAAAGGCAGGTCTCAGGTGTGCTGGCGTTAGATCTGTGGAGCCTAGATTGATGAAACATGGGCTTTGGAGTCAGATGGACCTGGATTTGAATCTTGGCTCTGCCACGTACATGCAGTATGATGTAACCCATCTAAGGCTTGGTTTTCTCATCTGTAAGATGGGGCTGACAGTATGTACTTCAGATACCATTTACAGATGTGCAAATCAAGTCTTAAAGAAGTCATCTGACTTACCAAAGGCACACAGCTATTTGGAGGCAAGGGCAGATCTTCTGACCACAGGTCTTAAATTTTTCCCACTGACCTACAAGGATGTGGTGGGGTTAGGTCTGAGGATATGTATATTTGTCTTCAGTTGTAAAAGTATTGCTGGCAAAAGTTACAGTGAGGTCCAGTGAATAAAAGTGACTTCGTTTCCTGAGCCTTTGCTTCTTTGTGCTTCAGGTTTGACTAATAGTAATACTTACCAATATCCTAGGGTTGTTGTGAAGGATTAAAGGAGATAATGTAAGTAAAGCACTCGTAGTAAGTTCTCCCGGATTTCATCATGAAACTTATTGAGGCTTGCTTTGTGGCCCAAACTATGGTCTATGTTTGTGAATGTACCACATGCACTTGAAAAGCATAGTTATTCTATAGTTGCAAATGGCATTATCTTATTCTTTTTTATGGCCGAGTAGTATTCCATTTATATATATATCCCACAATCTCTTTATCCTTTTTAATTGATCCCTCAGTGTAGGTACACTAAACAGTTCAATACCATAGTACAACTATATTTTACCACAAGCTCCTTCATGAGTGTGTTCTGCAATTATTTTTGTAATACATTTATTAACAATTGCTAATGTAGATATTATACCTGCTCTTACAAATTTGCCCTTCACTAATCCACCTTGATATTTTGCTCCCTGGTTCCTATGCCCCTTATCTATTGCTGAGTAACAAGCCACCCCAAAACTTAGTGGCCTTGGACAACAACAATCATTTTGCTCACAAATACGAAATTTGGGCTGGGCTTGGCAGTGACAGCTCGTCTCTGCTCCAGGTGGGGAGGGTCATCTGGGGCTGGCCTGTCCATTTCCAAGATGGGACACCTGCATGGCTGCAAGTTTGTGCTGGCTATCAGCTGGAAGGCACTTCATTCCTCTCTACATGGGTTCTCCTTGGGGCTGCCACAGTTTGGTGGCTGAGTTCCCAGAGGTGTAGTGAAAGTTGCTAGTCCCCTGGGGCCTGTGCCCAGAAACTGGTGTGGCATCATTTCCTCCATGTTCTTTTGTTCAAAACAGTCCTGAGGCCACCCTGATTCAAGGGGAAGGCACACAGGCCTCACATCTTGATAGGAGTTGTTGTAGAATTTTTGGACATCTTTAATCTACCCTAGTGCCTCACAGCAGAGGCTCTGGGCACCTCTTCTTCTCCTGATAGACTGACTTATTTAAAATTTAAACATGGCTAGTGTTAAGGGGCTCATCTCATACATTTTGCAGTTGCTTTATTTCTAAACTACAGTGACTGATTACAACACACTGAGAACATTTTGATATTGTATTGTGATTTTTTTTTCTGTTGGTGGGACTCTTCTGCATTTAATTAATTTATACTGATTTGGAATGACTTGAGAGACTGATCTGAGATTGTAACATCTCAAAGAGAATAAAAAAGCAGGTGACAGACTTTTGAAAAATTTTGCAATTCACACTAAGCTTGGGGTTTTCTCAGGAAAAACAGGCAAAGCTGTTTTATTTATGCAGAATCGAGAGAGGAGCAAGACAGTCTGTTGGTCCTTTCTTTCCTGCTTAAATACATCTGTTGCTTGCTATTTTTCATTTCAGGGATGATGGATTGGTTGTGTGATGTACTTGGATTAAATACTTGGGCTAAAGCATCTCATATATTTGCCCATCAACTTCTCTTTGTAGCAGATTTAATATTCCGTCTGAGATGCCAGATTGAATTAAATGCTTTTTTAAAGCCTACAGCCTCACAAAAACCTTTCCCCAGTCAGCACATTTTTACCACATTTAAAAAATAAGCATCCGCAGTGAAACAATGCAGGCTGTGGTTTCTTTTCTAGGGAAGAATCCAGTCTGGCTTTCGGGGGTGATGTAACTGGTCAGAGAACTGAGGATCCTGAGGCTGAAGTCTTGTCAAGGCTGAGCCTCCAGACTCCAGAACTTTCTTCTCATCTTGAGTCATCCCTCTTTGCCTGGATCACAGGAACTGGCTTGATGGAGTCAATTGGTACTCTTTTTGAGGGTAACTTTTGTGTAATTTTAACACTCCTCTGCCTTCCTGTGGGAACCCCACACACTTCTAGTTTGGGGACTTGTTTGGTCTCTTGTCATCCAGGGTTCACATGAAGGAAACTCACAGGGATGGTGATGAGGAGATGGTTGCTTCAATGATTTAATATTTAGAGGATGTCTCAAAGGAGGTGATTTTCAAAGTACCACACCACTGACTTGCTATGCAGTTACTTTCAGCCCCAGGTTCCTCATCTGTAAAATGGGGAGAGTAATGGTTGTGGTGATAATTAAATTAATGCCATTTAATGCATGTATTAGTTATCTATTGCTGTGTAACAAATAGCACCCCTCACAGGTTCAACAGCTTAAAACAACAAGCATTATCTCGAAGTTTCTGTGGATCAGGGAGCTGCTTAGCTGGGTGGTCCTCTGGCTCAGGGTCTCTCATGAGGCTCTGTTCAAGGTGGTGGCCAGAGCTGCAATCATCCAAAGGCTGGAATGGGGTATGATCCACTTCCAGGCTCACTCACATGGCTGTTGGTAAGTCTTAGTTCCTTGCCACACTGAATGACCTTTCAACATGACTGGTGGCCTCCCCCAGAGGGAGGGACTCAAGAGAGGGAGGGAGAAAGCAGTCTCTTGGTGGATGAATGCCACAGTCTTTTATAATTATATCCTAATCTTGAAAATGACACCCTGTCACTTTTGCTGTATTTTATTTGCTAGAAGTGAATCACTTAAGTCCAACCCATACACAGCAGGAGGGGAATTAAACTCCACCTCTCTGGGAAGAAGTATCAAAGAATTTGTGGATATATCTTTAAAAATCACCACAGCACAGTTGTGGGCATGTAGCAGATAATCAATAAATGATTAGATGTTATTAATAGCTTAGCAGACAAACTCACTTCTTGGTGGGTTGATTTCCAGGCCGACTTTGGAGACATCCCACTTTTATCAGGTGAAAGGAATCCTGGGCTCAATCCAATCAACAGATTGGAGATGACCTCCACACAATGAGATTTGATCTTTCATTCTCTTGTCACTTGGGAGGGAAGGCTTTGCTGACATCTCCTCTGTTGTGCTGCATCAATCAGTGCAAAGACTCTAGGAGAGGAGCTCACATCACTTAAAATTCACTTCTCTAAACTGAGCATATTTTCTTCCCTGACAGTCAGTGCAGTGTCTTCCCAACTGGGGCCAAGGGATGACACCAGGGATACCACCTGGACTGAGGGGCAGAGCATACCCTCGGGGAAGGGCTCTCAGCTCCTCTTGCCCCTGGCAGTTTTACATTCCAAAAACAGAGACGATTTTTAAAAATAAATGTATTTATTTCACTATAGAGCATTACCCCAAATTTGGGCAAAAGAGGAAAAATGGGTGGGTGGGGGAAGACCTCTACAAACTTAATACAACCACACTTTGTGATATTTCATTTTCAGTTTCCCATGCAGTTTCCTATTTTTACGTAGCTACAAGCAGTTGCAACTACAATTTCATATTCTGATTCTTTTCACTTAACTGTGTCACATGTGTATTTGTATTACATGGTCCTTCACCACTTTTTAGTTTTTGATGGCTGTATAATACTCCAGTGGGTGAATGTACCGTAGTTTGCTTAACTGTTCTTCACTTTTTCATTTATTTCAATCAGTTCTTTATATATTTATTTTTAATAAATAAGTTGTTGTATCATATTCTGCCATAATTATTTTTTCCCATGTTGTTTTGCCTTTTAATTTTTACCATTTTCTTTAAAATGGTCACATTAGTCACATTAATTAGGTACAGGCTAGATGGGTGTACCTAGAAGTGTTAAACCTTTTCCCCCAGGGAATTACTGTTGCCTCTAAACTTGGAAAGCCCTTTCTTTTATTATAATATCCCCTCTTCACTGACAGTGTCTACATGGCTTTGAAAAATTCGTCTGGAATTAATTTTGAAGTATAGCATTAAAAAGGGGTCCAACAATGAGATTTATTTTCTTTCCCAAATTACTGACTCGTTGGTCCAACATTATTTATTGCACGGTCCCGCACAACCTTTTCCATTGGTTTGTGATTCCCTTTTAAAATCACCTTGGTCTTACTTAGAACAGGGGCTGTTTCTGGCCTACTGTTTTCACTGATTTGTCTGTTTTGTACAAATAATTTTATAATATTTTAATAAAGAAGGAATGAATGAAGTCAGGCCTTGGCTAGAAAAGGAACTTGTTCTGGTTGGAAACAATGAGATCTCCTGGAGGGCTGTCTGGACTTGACAAGAAAAGGAAGTGAGGCACTGAAGTAGGAAATGTGAGTTTATGTAATGCAGCAGGAAGACAGCAGGCACCCAAAGATGGCATGCCCAAGGCAGCACGCAGTCAGGGGCCAGGATTCACAAAAAAGGCTGGACGGTAGGGGTTGCCAGGAGGATTTAGACAGGCCTCCAGCAAATGCAGCAACGGTCTTCATAGGAAAAAGTACTTCTCTGTTTGAAGCCAACTATTAATTGACAGGAAAGAAACCAGGGAATGCCTGTCTCTCATCAGCTAAGCAAGAACTGAACCTTGTCTTACTAAACACAAGTAAGGCTGGTGATATTTGGATGGAATTAACAATCTGGCAGATAACGGGACAAGCAGCAGCTGTCACTTAGCTAGGCATCAGTAGACTGTGTTACAGCACCTCGAACTTGTACTGGAACGAGGGGCTCAGCCAGGCTCTGGTAACTGTGTAGGTGAGATGTGCATAAGAGGGTTTGATATCATGAGTATGGTCCTAGTGAAAAGATTTTTAAAAAAGCTTTTGGAAAAGGAAGGGTGGACTGATGGGACCCAGTATGGGTTTACCTGTAATCTACATGAAATACGGCGAGCCCAGCATCTTGGGATTAGGGACAGATCCTTAATTTAGAAGTTTCAGCCCTGTACAAATTATGCCAGGTATTGCCAGGGGGAAACACCTCCTCCCTGACAGGCTAAGGCTGCTGGAGTCTCCTTGTTGTAACTCTGCAAATGACTGGAGGACAGACAGCAGGGCCGGGGATGAGGGATTTCAACCCAGCCAAGAGAGGAAGAGGCTGTTCCCAGAAAAGGGCTGTGGGTCCAGGAAGCCCACGTCCGACCAGTTTTGTACAGATACAAGAAGGACTGGTAAGAACCAGTGAGAAAACAACCACCTATGATTTGGGGCTTGGAAAAACCACCATGATTATTTTCTGTACAAATGCTTTCCCATGGCTCACTCATCAGTGGGACTAAAATGCCTGATGGGAGAGGAAGAAGGGAGCAGATTCCTGGTGAGGAAGGACAATGAGAACAGCCAGAACAGCTCAGGGAACCAGAAACTAAATTCATCGTTATCTTATAAATGCATTTATAAACGATTCCTTGCACACGTTGAGCCGGGCTCTGTGCAGACAGTGGGGTCAGTCACCTCTGGCAGAATCCCCACTGGAACACAGCATGGTGGCAATTTTCCAAACATAATCGGGCAGGGGAGAGGCAAGGGCCTGTTCAGGATGCCAGAGCACAGGGGTAGGATGAAAGAGGAGAGAACACAGAGGTTGAAGACAAGTCAGGGAGTGCAGTCCTGGGAAGAGGACAGCTCTGAGTTCTGCACTTGCTCTGCTCGCTAGCAGAGAGGCTGCTTAGATAAGACAGCCCTGCAGGGAGCCGTCCTATCTCTGCCTGATGACGACCCCCAGGCCTAGGATGATAAGCCCCATGAGCCCAGCTGGCCCCCAGGGGTTCTGAACAGAGGCCGGGGTGGGGAGAGGCAGTGTGCTGAGGTGCGACAGGCTTTAGGGCTATCCAGACGGGGACTCCTGGCCGGGACCTGGGAGTCACCTGACCTCTCGGAGCTGGTGTTTTCATCAGGGGGTAACGTCCCACTTGCCCCACGTAGTCAAGGACATTAGAGCTCTTGTTTTAAAGTGCCTGCTACAACCCTTATGAAGATGAGGGTGGATTTCACTTGTGAAACGCTCCACAGGTGGGTGGGATCCAAGCCCCCCTGAAGAGTAGACTAGAAAAAGAACCACTGGGCACTTGATGGGAACAGAACGGAAGCCAACCTGGTGCTCAGTGACAGTTCATCTGCAGACAAGTTCGGTGTGGAAGGCGGCTCCCTTCCATCTGGCAGAAGATTCCTTCTCTGGACGCCACTTCCCAGGCACCCCTGAACGGAGCAGGAGAGGAGACCACGGTGTGGCCACCCTTCAGCCCTTAACGTGCCTTCCATGTGGCTTTGGTGCAGTCACTGCGATGATCTGAGGGGTCTTTGGCAATCACGTTGGTGGGAGCGTGGAACCGTGGAGAGACCGTGGGCCTGGGTGGGGACAGCCTGGCCATCAGAGTTCCTCTTTGTTGCTGTCGAAGTGCTGGACCGGAGGTCCTGGAGCCAGAGGCTGCCCTCCTGGCCCCTGGCTGCCAGGCTGCTGGCCACTGTCCCCCGGGCGCCGGCCCACAGCGGCATAGTCCCGCAGGAGCCCGCTGTCCACTCCGTGCTGGCGAAGGCTCTCGGTTCCCACAAGCCCCTGTGTTCTCAGGTACCCCTGCTGGCAAAAGGGCGGCAGCTTCTGGCGCGTTAGGGCGAACAGGAAACAGGACTCTACATAAAAACAAAAGACCAGGCCGAGAGGTGTGGGGAGAGGTGGAGGAGGGTTTGCTGATGCGCTGGGGGTCTCACCTGGGACCCTCTTCCCCTTGAGCCTGGGAACTGACTTTCCTGGGTCTCTCACGTGTGACCTGGGTAGCTGTGGCTCTCATGTCTTCCTGAAGTTTCAAGAATAGGAGGCTGCCTTGACATTCTGGAAAAAACCAGGCTCCAGAGGGAAGCAAACCAAAGAGGTGACTCAGCTCCCAGAGATGGGGGCCCTGCAGGCTGCTGTGCGTGGAGCTGGCGGCCTGGGACTCAGGGGCCGCCCCTCAGCCTTCTCTGCTGGGGGCTGAGAACTCGGTGGTCAGTCCCATTTTGAGCTCAGAGTTCCCTGCAAAGATTAATTCCCTCGACCATATCTGAGTTGCAGATACAGCATGTGAAGCACTGTTTCAAGCACCATGGGAGCTACTGAGATAAACCCTGTAAATCCTCATCTGTGCCACAGCAGGAAGCTGATGTGCAGGTCACACCTGATCAATTAGGAAACAGCTGTGGATACGTACGATTTAGAAATATGAAGAGACAGCCAGAAGAGCTAGAAGCAGGTCCCTCCGGGGAGTGGGACTGGAAGTGGGGAAAAAGCCAAGTACTTACATAACTGTAATTTAAAAAACAGGAAGGATGAAACAGATATGGGCTCAGCCTTCTGAGGGATTTAGAGACAGGACAGCAAGATGGAGTGAGTGTCAGAAAACCATCCTGGGCATATTACAAAGGATGCTGTGAGGCTTACACGAGTGAATAGCCTGTGAGGTGCCACGCGAATACTGTTTCCTACTTTACCTCTGACTTACAGTACAGAGGGCCCCTGGCAGGATGGGCCATGGCCATCCTCTCTGAGCAGGGAAGACAGCAGATGAGGGAGAGGCCGGGGGAGGGGCAGTGAGGAGGCCTTCGGGCAAGCACCCACTGCTGATAGCATACACCAGTCACCCCTTCTGCAGGGGCCAGGGGGCAGAGAAGCCCAGCACACGTGGGGCCAGAACTAGCAGCTGCATGTCTGCTAACGGGGTAGAAAAAAGCCCACCTGTTGCCAGCTGGCCCTTTGTGGGGAGGATTCTTGCCAGTTCAAGGCAGTGACACTTGGTGGCTTGTCCTGTTGAGTAGATCTAGGGACCGGGAGCCCAGAGGCTAAAGGGCCTGTGATGATGTGTTGTGGGAGCCATCACTCAGGGCAGGAATACACTCCCTAGGAGGCACTGACATCTCTTGTGTCCTCCTGAAACCCCAAGAAACAGGCAGGGGTTTTGGAGCTGAGGTCTCTAGACCTATAAAGTGTAATTTCACGTGTAAGTGTATGGTTAGAGCTGACGTCGGCAGAATGCTGCTACTGCAAAGCTGCTTAGTGCTGCTCTATGAGTTACGTCTGTTTGAGCATCACATATATTGAGACTATTAACTGAAACTATTGTTTTAAGCCATTGCCCTTAATATACACATTTTTATTTCAAAGAGGACTGAGGGATGGAACAAGAACTCTTGCTCCCTGATCTGCAGGCCAAGGACTGACCATCCCTAACCTGGCTTGATATGGACAGTGCCTGATACACAACCACTGTCCAGCAGATGTTTGCTGAACAGAAAAACGGAGTAGATACCCTGGTAATTCAGGGGGTTAAAAAAGAAAAGGACAAAAATTTGGCTTGTTTCAGCCATTTCTCCCTCTGGTTCATTCGACTTTCTCCCCAGGTCCCTCTCTGGGTTTGACTGTCAGAGCCATCTTCCCGTTCACCAGTTCTCCCTTCGTCTCTGGCTGAGGTGCGACTACTACCCGATACTGAGTTTCTAATTACAAATTTATATTTTCGCTTCCTGAAGTCTTATCTGGGCCTTTCTCAAGACTGCCCAGTCAGGTCTGGTAGTCCTACCCTTCCATTCTATCTTCAGTAGCCTCTTATTTACTCACAGATTTTGGACACACTTTCCACCCTCTACCTGACCGCTCCAATTCCTGCCGTCTCTGGAGGTTTGATCCCACAGGGAGTTGGCTCTGCCGACACTCCCTCAAGGTGGTTTGTGTCCTTGTGTGTTAAGTGATTTTTGCTTGGGAGTGCGCGCTCCTGGGAACTTTATCTGTGCGAATTCTCGGAGGCCTAGGTTTAAAGTGTGTTTCCCCACAGAAGACTTGCACTGACTTCTGTGATTTCTGCACCACGATGATAGTGTGAACTTTGGCCCTAAACTTACACGAGTGAGGCCTAATAGACGGAAATTCTCAGGGGAGATTTTTACCTCCTGACTGTACCCAGAGCCAAAAAGTAAGTCTTCTCTCTCTCGGGAGTGCCTTCTGCTTCCCAGTTTACCCTGAGATCCCAGCTTTATTTGAGGGTCTCTGTCTCTGCCCTGCTCCAGCCTTGCCTTCCAACCCCCAAGTGCCGGTCAGCGGTCCAGGCTCTGGGCTACTGACGATCAGCAGACAGTCCTCGTCTCGCGGTGGGTTTGTGCTTTTCTCAGTGTCCGGCCTCTGGGCCGTTCCCATTTTCCTGCCAGTTCTTTAAAGACATTTGATAGAGTGTTTTCAGCTGTGCTGTTCTGGGAGGGGGTTTCTGTGAACACCGAGCCTTCCACACAGTAGGAGACAGGAGTCTCCGATCTGGGTTTCTAGATGTGTACCCTAAAATTCTGCAAGGCACAGATCTACCTCGTTTCTTCAACCTCCAGCTGAGCCCCTTTGTCATTCCGTGAACTTAAGTTACCTGCATAGAAGCTTCGCAAATCGGTGTCCAAACAGTTCTCCAGGAAGCGCCTCAGAGGCAGAATGTGACCCACCGGGGCCGTCCAGTCTGTCAGGAAGTCTTCCACGATGTGGTGGATGGCCGTGGGGCGCGGCAGGGGCCAGTCTGCAGGGCGGAACCTCACCTCCTGCTCTGTGGGGAGAAGGAGGGGCACTGTGTCAGAGCCGAGCACAGGGCTTCCCTTCCTGGGGCTGACGAAGCAGCTCTGCCTGTCTCAGGGGCCTGCCCTCTCCCTCCCTCCCCTCCAGCCTTCCCGACACACCTCTGGGCGGCCACAGTCAGCTTGCTCAGCTGCCTCTCCCGATGTCTGGAAGGTTGACGGGAGGAACAGGGACTAGGCTAGACTCATCCCTTGTGCTAACAGAAGGCAGAACAAAGACCCATCACTTGAACTTGGTTTTTTTCTAAGACTTCCATGGACTGAGGTCTACCGTGGCTGCTTTGAAATTCATCTTTCTGGGGTCCTGCCTTGAAGGTCCTTTCTGGGGTCCTTCCTTGAAGGGGTCTTAGAGCCCCTCTAGTCCAGTCTCCTACCTGGTGGACGCCCTCCTGTGTGTCTCCATCAGAGGGCATCGAGCCACATCCATCCCTGTATCGGGAAACTTGACTCTGGGAGGTGATCCTTCCACCGTGGGACAGCTTTCACGGTCAGCTGCTCCTTACATGGAACATAAACCTGCATTCCTCTCACTTCTGCATGTTGATACTACCTCTGCCCTGGGGATCGTGATCTGTTTTTAGCTCATCCTCTCCCAGGTGACATCCCTGCAAGTTCTGAAGCGGGAGGCACACTCCCCTAGCTGTTCATCTGTGGGCAGCTGCTCCATGCCGGGCGCTGCGCTGGCGCTCTGCCGCGTCATCTCGTTCACCCTCACACAGTCCTGCCGGGAGGGTCCTACTCCCCCCACCCCCATCTCACACATGAGGAAACTGAGGCTTGGTGGGGGTTAAGGAATGGTCCAAGCCACACGGCGAGGAGAGGACAGCCCTGGGAACTCCACCCACCTTTTCTGTACTCTTTCCTGCTACATTCCGGCTCCAACCAGTTCCCACTCCTCCTGTTCCTTCTAATCATCAGCTTCCAGATCACTCCTCCCCACTCCACGGTCAGCCTCCTTTGGAGATGGCAACGACAGTGCCCCTCTTACTCTGTGGGGTCTGGAGGCGACCACGACACTCCACGTGTGGCCTGCCCAGGTCATGGTTTGGGCCAGAATCTGGGAATAACGTTTATCATTCTTGGACCTTCTGCCCCATTTAGCCTCTGGGCAGAGACCCCTGTGGCCCCGCTTCCATAAGCCAAGGGGGCTGGGTGAGGGCTTAATGGTGAAGGGGTCCGGGGAGTGCCCAGGCCCGGGGGAGAGCAGACACCCGCTCACCGGTGGGGAGGTGCCTGTAGTAGTAGATGACCGGGTGGAGGAAGTTGGACTGCCAGGCGTCTTCCGTGTGCCCCACAGATCGGTCATAAAAGAAGACGTCCTTGTCGGGCCCAGAGAAATTCTTGCCGTACTCCATGTTGATTACGAAGAGCCCGTGCCTGGCCTGTCTTCCTGTTATCGACTCCAGCTGGGCCAGCATCCGCATGGGGAACTCCTCCAGGTACTCGAAAGCTGTGGCATTCCTGGGACAGTGGCAGCACGGCCGGAGGAAGATGCTCAGTGCTGCGCAGCGGTGAGAGGTGTGCGTGCATGCGTGTACCTGCCTCTCAGTCCAAGAAGCAGCCACCAAACAGCGTGCTGACCCTGATCAGCCCCGCTCACCTCACTCTGGTGTGACCGTGACAGCAGAGCCCTGACTTGCACCTGGGAGAGACGACTGAAAGCTGAGTAACCTGAAACGGGTATCTGGGGAAAGGGTGAGCCAGGCTGAGAACAGTGACAGAAAAGCCCGAGGAGAGAGTGCACGCTGGTGGGTTCAAGGGGCAGGAAGCAGGCCAGTGTGGCCGAAGTGGAGTTGAGGAGAAAGGGCAGGAAAGGGGGCTGGGGAGGTTGGTGGGGGGGGCAAGAAGGGCTGTGTGCGTCACCATGGGAACTTCGGGCCTCCTCTGGATCAAGGGAAGCCACTGGCCCTTGGAAGGTACTGAACACTGATGAATTCATGTGACCTAAGTTTTAAAAGGGCCACGCCAGCCACCGTGTTGAGCACAGACCACGGGGCCAAGGTGAGAGGCTGCTCTATCAGTGCAGATGAGGGATACTTGTGGTCCAGACCAGGGTGGCGGGGGCAGTTGTGGGACTGGTGAGGGGCTCAGATTTGCGACACAGTTAGAAGGTAGCGCTGACAGGATCTACGTATAGTGTGAATGTGGTGAGCAGGTGTGAAAGAGAGAGGAGTCAAGGGTGATGGTGGTTTTGTGCTGAGTACCTCTGAGTTTCCTGCACGTCCTTGAACTTGGTGTGCTGCTGTGCTCACTGGCTTTGGACCAGGCTGTTCCCTCTGAGGCTTCTCAACTGCCACCTGTCCTTGGAAGCCCTCCTGACCCAGCTCTTCCCCCTTCCCTGCTCTGCCTGGTTTCCTTCTCAGGAAGTGTCCTCTGTGATCTGCCTTTTATCACTTGATTGACTAGGAGCCAACACAGTCCCCAGCCAGGGAGCCCATAAACCCACACAGATGGTGCCACTGTCATCACTGCAGTTCACTGCTCACCTGTTTGGTGCCAGATACTTTCCACCAGTTACCTTTACCCCTTCCTCCAGTCCTGCAAGGGAGGTGTTATTATCCCCATTTTGCAGATTAGAGAAAGGCTCGGAGAGGCAGACTAACTTGCCCCAGATCAAAGAGGTAGAAAACGGCAAAGCTGGAGTCACACCCAGGTCCATCCATCTGTCTGTCTGCAAAGCTTGTGGTGTTGATTTCACGATTCTCCCCAGAACAGACTACTCTCCCCCTGCCGCCCCCACCCCAGCTGGCTTCATCTTAGGAAAGAACCCCTGGGCTATTCCCCACCCAGAACAGGCGGAGAACAAGCCAGGGATGAGGGTGTGGACTACTCACTCCTTCAACAGGACCACGTCGGCCAGCACACTGAACATCTGGTAGAGCCCGGAAGCCTCGTTGACACGCCGGATGATGGCACTGGCCAGCTGTGTGATGGGGTGCTGGGTGGAGGGCCAGGGGACACTGTGGTGGCGCTGCTCCAGCAGCCGGTGGACGGCACGCACTGAAACGACCAGAGGGAGGAAGGGCATGCAGCACTTCAGATGTTATCTTTCACCACTGGGAGGGACGCAGAGGCCCCATCAGCTCTGAACTCAGGGCACACTTGTATGCACGGCTCCAAGGAGATGCCTTTAGAGCAGGGTTCATACATGTTTTCCAGAAGGGGCAGGGTGGGAGGCGTCTTGGCCACACTACTCAATTCGGCCTCTGGTGGGAAAGCAGCCGTAGAGATGGGGAACTGAGTTGGCGTGGCTGGATGTGGTCCCCTGGCCAGAGTCTGCCCGCTTCTGCTTTAGGCCATCTGCATATGGAAATCCCACCACAGTCACCTTGTGTGGTGTGTCTAGACAAGACCCAGATCCCTCCTCTGAAGCCTCTCCCTCCTCACAGTCCCCGAGTCTATCAGGGACACCCAGACGGAAACTCTGACTGCCCCCTCTCCTTCACAGCCAAAATCCAATCTGTTGCTAAGCTCTATTTGGAGATACTTTGTATATTGACATAAGGACAGAAAAACAGCAGCTATCTTAAACAACAAGCAGACATTTTTCTGTGTCCCCGGGGCTGCTGTCACACAGCTGGGAGACTGGGGCACCGCACACAGGGGCCTGCTCTTCGAAACAAACCAATGCAACACGCAAATCCAATAAAGGCAAGGACACAGACAATCACGTGTCAGGAGACCTGGATGGCTAATGGTCACAGGAAAGGAGGTTCACCCTTGCTAGTCAGACAGACATCTGGTTCTCTAGCACTGGTTAGGCTGCGTTTTGTGAAAGGCTGAGGAATTACTCAGCTAGGGAACTGCGGGGAGGTGCCTGACAGAAGGAACGCGTGTGCAAAGACATGAAACCTCAAGAGAAAACCGGCACATTCCGGAAAGCAGGCGAGGCTGGGCTGGGAGGGCGAGCTGGGGCCACCATACAAGGCTCCGGATGCCATGCCGAGCACCTGGATGGGGAGCCCCTGGAAGTTTTTTCGTTTAAAGAACAGTTGTTTTGGTGGGTATCGGAGCAGCTGGATGGGAAGCCAGAGAGAACAGTGGCAGGAGGACCAGTTAGGAGAGACCAAGAGGCCCCATGTCCGGAAAGTGACGCTGGGATGGATGGGAGAGAGACGGCAGGTCCTACCCTCCCCGGTTACCGTCAGTGCCGCCTGTCTTCCACCTTCCATTGCTTTACTCTGCCTTGCTGTTTTCTACTTTTCTCCCGTGGGACCTGTTTCTCAGCTGAACGATGCGCAGGGCTGGGCAGGATGGATGGTCCTCTGCTGGTAGCGGGGACCCTGGTAAACAGTGGCCTGTCCACCCATGACTGTTTCCCATTTGCCTGAAGCTCAGGGGTTCTCTGTGAGCTTCAGAGTCAGATGGGTGTGGATTCAAAGGCTCCCTCTGCCGGCCACTGGCTGGGCGACTTTGGGTAACTTACTTCTCTGTGCCCATTTCCTTATACGAAAAATGGAGTTGAAATAACAGGATCTGTCTCATGGGACTGTTGTAAGGATTAAGAATGTGACCTGGGGGGAAGATCAGGGGACAGAAGGAAACAAGAGAGATGAGGCAGGACCTGCCAGGAGAGCAGGTGCAGAGAGAGAGTAACAGGCACAGGAGGGATGAGGAGGGCTTCGTGCTGGGGAGATACCTTTCCCATTCTGTGTGTGTGTGTGCGTGCGCGCGTGTATTCGCTTTGCAAATCCCGCAAATAGTTGTAAACAGACAGCTAGTTGCTTCTCTGACGACAGGTGGGGGCTATAAAATACATGGTCTGGAAATCAACACCAAAACATGATTGTCTTTCCTTGCCAAACTGGAAGGGTGGTGAAATGCAAAAACCAGCATTTAGACAAGTGAGGCATCAAGTTAAAAGCAGAGAGATCAGGGTGAAGGACTCATATGGTGTTTTTATGGCAAAATTAACTGACCCATGTAACACTCACCATGCAATAAAGCACCCACCCAGCAGCCTACCCAGAGTGTGGAAAGTCTGTACTCTTAGTACTGAGGGTTCTGAAAAAGAACTGATATAATCCCACTGCAATTTGTACTGAAATTTGTTGCTACCCCAGGAGTCTATGTACGGAGCGCTTCACAGCTGCACGGTCTTAGTCCTTGCAACAGTCCCACAGGGGCGGCAAGTTCACCTCATTTACATCTCTGACTTGCAGGACGGCCAACAGAGGCTCAGAGAGGTTACAAGGTCTCACCCTTGAGACTACCCAGCTGCTAATCCAGATTAGCATTGTTACCAATACGTGGTAAGCTGCACAGGGCTTAAGCATGTAGCGTGCCACCCACAGATGGACTTCCTTTTACACTTTATCTGATGTATCTTCTCTAGATGTATCTTCGGACTGCCATAACCCACTGCTGTCTGCCCCGGCAAGGGAATTTATAGTAATCGACTGCTCATAAGCAATCACTTTAAGGCTGGTTTAAGAGAATCGGGCATGTGTTAAACCTTGGGGATGGTTCTGTCTGGGGACAGCAGCCCTCTCTGCCTGGCTCACCTGTGTATCGGAATCCGTGGATGAAGCCCCCAGCAGATTTTCGGTAATCCACGGAGTGGCTGGCGGTACCCAGGACAAAGAGACCGCGGCTCCCTTTGGACTCGTAGCTAGCTCTGACCAGTGGGTATTTCTTGCTGAACTCACCCCCTGAAGAGAGTCGGAGGGACCTGTGAGCAGAAAGCGTTGTTAATAAAAATAGATGCTGTGGGTGGAAGACTTTTTATAGGCCTGGCACTGAGTTAAGTACTTAATTCCTTCTCGAACGTAAACCACATCACGACCCTAGGAGGCAGGTATGATCATCTCTATTTAACAGAGTAACTGAGGTTCAAGGTGAAAGATATGGCAGGTCAGGGACAGAGCCAGGATTCGAGCCAGACTTGAGGCTGGGCTCTAGGTGAAAACTGAGCCCTGCGTGACTTGATGGGACAGGAGGGTCTGTTCAGGCCCTCCTGTTTCTCTGTGTCCACCTGTGCCTTGGCCGGAGGAAAGGGAGACACTGGTTCTTTCATACAAAGCCTTGCCAAGGTCCTGAGGCAGCAGTGTCTAAAGATGAGGATCCCTAAAGCAGTTATTCAAAACACGATTAAAAACGATGTGAGCAGCTGACATTTTATGGAGTATATAGTACTTGCTGAGCACTTTCCTACGTGAATCCTCACAATAGCCCTAGAGAAAGAAGCTATGATTCCCATTTTAGCGATGAAGAAAGCAGAGTACAGCTTGGCTAAATAACTTTCCGAGGGCTCACAGAGTTGGTAGGTAGAGAATCAGACTGACCCCAGAGCTGTGCTCCTAGCCACATGCCACACTGCCTTTCAATGAAGCCCCCTCTTAATTCTGTCTCAGCTTGCTCTGCCTTCTCTCGGGTAGAGAGAACACAGATGAGGGCTTGCTGCTGCGGCCTCCTTGCAGCCACCCCACCTCCCCCACTGCCCTGGACAGAGAGCTCGTGTCCTGGATGGGAAACCAGGCGGCATCTGCATCCGTGCTGAGGGTGCAGTCCCGAAAACCCTGCCCCTGGCCCACTGGACCGCCACTTGGTTCCCCTGGGGAAGGGCCAGCGGGATTTGCTAGAAGCTGCAACCCCTCCCCCGTTTGGACTCACTTGCTGAAAATGGAGAAGTCGAAATTCCAGCCCAGGCAGCGGATGACCCGGTCATAGGCCACGCGCATGGCAAAGTTGTCACTTTCGTCCTGGGGGAGGGTGATGGCGTCGGCACTCTGGTTGTTTTCCTCCAGGAAGAACTTCAGGGTGATGTGGAACTTGCCCTGGCGGTCCTTCACGATGGCCAAATCCGTCAGGTCAGACTCAAGCAACCCGTCCAGGGACTTCAGCTGGTAGGTGTCCAGCAGGCCGTTGTTGATGGCCCTGGGGCCCGGGAGAAACATCAGGAGAGAGAAAGGCATCTGTGCAGGTTTCAGGGAGACTCAGAGGATGGGGTGGTTAGGCAGGCGGGAGTCAAGGATGGCTCTAGAGGGGCTGGTGGCACAGGATACACAAGCAGCTGCCCAGCGTACCTGAGGTCGCCAACGTAGTGAGTGGCCCAGGAGAGCCGGACCCGGGAGCGGCTCAGCATGTGGATGAAGTTGGTGACACCCAAGATGTTCTCTGCCGTCTCAAAGGCTGAGTTCCCCCGGCCCAGGATCAGCACATTCTGACCCACAAAGTCCTTGGGGTCCACGGACACAGACTCGTAACCATCCACGTATTCAGAGCCAGGGAAGTCAACCTGGTTGGGGACTGATAAGCCGGTGGCTACCAGAAGTACACTGCAGGTAGGGGACAGAGGGAGGATGGCTTAGCCTCTTAGCTCCGAGCCCCCTATGTGAAAATCCCACTCTGCAAGTACCACCTGGCTCGCCTGCCTCACCCAGACTGCTGGCTCCTAAACGAAAACAGGCCATTCCTTAGCTCACCTGCTACTGACCTGACCCAGAGCACCCGAGATCTTACCTGGCCCCTCACTGAGTGACCCAGGGGGTACAGTGTCCTTTACACCTTGCTGGGGTTATACCAAACACAAGACTTAGTTTTACTCTCTGACTGAGGAGAGGGTGACACCCTGAGATATCCAAGAATTCACTTAATTTTGAACACAGCGACCACAGCAAGTGCCACCCTCCGTCAGGAAGATGAAACTTGATGTTCTGCTTCCCCCTTTCTTACTTGCCTGGCAGATGCAGAATCTGCCAAGCAGTGATTTTTTAAAAAATGTTTTAAATTTATTTTTTGAATGGAGGTACTGGGGCTTGAACTCAGGGCCTCGAGCATGCTAAGCATGTGCTCTACCACTGAGCTATCCCCTCCCCGCCGTGGAACAGTGACTGTACGAGGCCTTGTACTAAGTGCTTTATGCCTCATCTTACTGCTCACAGCAACTCTGCGTTGGTGTCATTTGGCCTGCTTTACAGGTGAGGAGACACAGGTCCCAAGTGGGCCCACAGCCTCCAAAGATCCTCCGACAGCAGAGCCAGAATCTGACCACAGACCAGCCAGATTCCAAAGTCCTGCTCTTTATACTGGTGGGGATTATACTCCGGTGGTGGGCAGCCTGGGAGCTGGATCCTGCCAGCCTGCAGAGGAATGGTCTGATCACAAGGTAGTTTCCAAAACAGGTCTGAGTGGCCTGGAGAAGGGGGCATGTGTAGCCCATTGCTCCTTAGTGTCTGATCTGTCCACTCTGCTCACATTTGACTCCTCTACGCTGTAGCACTGCTGCCTAAGATGAAAGGATCCAAATGAGCACAACCCTGCTCTCCCTGGGCTGTAACCAGCAAGGAGCAAGGCTGTACCTCTGGCTAAACGCATGAGATGAACTCTAATCGAGCACCTGCCTGCAGCCAGGTGCCAGGCTGAGTGCCAGGGAGAGGCAGCCTGGTGCAGCGTTAAGAACACAGGCTTCAGAGTCAGGAAGATGTGAGCTCAAACGGCAGCTGTGCCACTTACTAGCTGTGTGATATAGAACCAGTTACTCAACTTCTCTGAGCCTCAGTTCTTCATCTGTAAAACAGGGATCAGTGAACCTCCTTCAGGGGTCCTTGTGAGAATTAAACAAATGCAGTATCGCGTATAACTCTTGAGTCTGGGTTGTTTACACAATATTAAGTTTTCTCCCAAGCCAAAGCAAGCGATAACTGAATGCTGGCAGCACTGCCCGTTGCGCTCCCTTGTTCAGTTCTGAAATCCTACTGAGTTTGTCTAACACTTGCTAGACACTTGCTAGCATTTCCCAGAATGTACTGTGGGGAATACTAGTTCCAGGAGATGCTCTACAAAAAGGGTTTTGTGAGTGCCTAAGCTTAGACAATGCTGAATACTCTGCCCAGTGCTGGAGTGCCTCAGTGAGTATGGAGATACTAAAGACTGAAAAATCCTGGAGGAAAGACATGGTCAGAATGCTCAAACATATTTGAGCACACACATTTCTAGGAAACACGTGGGAAATGATGGCTGAACTGAACCTCTCAGGACTGGATTTCAGCAGGAACAAGGATTAGCAGAAATGCCCCTTTCCTCCCATTTCTCCCACAGCTATGGCCGACCAATGGACCGCCTTCTTCTGGGAAAGGCCCCAGCTTCAGCAGGTGAGCTCTGGAGCCCAGTTCCTTACCTGCACTGGTATGCCTGGCCTTTCTGGTCGGTCAGGATGAAGTAATGGCCATTCCAGGCCCGTCGATCCTTGTTCAGAGTGACGTGGGCAATGGTGGTGTTGTACAGCACGGGGAGCCCCAGCTTGTCAGCGAAGTCGCGCAGGTAGCGCACCATGTCACCTGCATCGGGGAAGTAGGCGCTCGAGTAGTGTCTGAAGAGCAGCTGGGGGTCGTGGCTGAGCAGAGAGTTCCAGTCGTGGCGTAGGTTGAACTCCGCGTTGGCCTTGCCGGTGTAGCGCTTGTTGATGCTGAGGAGCTTGCGGTGCCGCGGGTAGCGCGTGAAGAAGCTGCCAGGCCCTGGGGCGCGTTCGAACACCACGTAGTCCCTCCCGGCGCGCTGCAGGAAGTAGGCCATCTGCAGGCCCGCGGGCCCGGCGCCCAGGACGCAGTAGTCCCGGTGGTGCCGGGGAGCCCAGGCCCGGGCGGAGCGCAGGGAGAGAGCCGGGTGCAGGGCGACGGTCAGGAGCAGCCCCAGGGGGCCCCACAGCGGGGCCGCGGCGGAGAGGCCCATCCTACGGCAGACCAGACGAGTGAGGCCTCGGACCCCAGAAGGCCCCTTGAGGCCGGGGCCATGGGCGAGGAACCAGGGCCCAGAAAGAGGCCGGGGCTGGCCGGAGCGCTCATTACGACTTAGGGCGGAGCCAGGGCCAGAACCCAAGGACCCCTGAACTCACTTGCCCCGACTCTATCCTTTTAAGCTCGTTTCAAGCTTTGGCTCCCCCAGAAGCCCAGACCCCCTCCATCTCCCTCAGGACCTTGGTTTCTAGGGGCGCCAGACTCTTTATTGTCATGCTAACAAGATGGTGCACATTCCCCCCAATTTTCCCTTTTAGTGGCGCCCCATACCCTCCAGGGACCTCCCAAGGCTAGACCCTCGTGGTTCACCTCTTTTGGGCCATGCCCCCGCCCTCCTGGCTCTAGCCTGAAGAAGGTGTGGCCTGAAGGTCCCCCAGACCAGGGCCAGGCGCCCCGGGCTCTTCGGTCACATGACAGGGATGCCCCGGCACACCTGCCGCGGGGCGGCGCGAAGCCACCCTCCTGCCGGCGCGCTCCATCCAGGAGCCGCTCCCCACGCGTGCGCGTTGCCCACGCCCGTAGCTCCCGCCTCCCCAGCCCGCCTGCCCACCCCCCGCACAGAGCTCAAACCTCCCAGCCGCTCCGTAGACAGCCCGCAGCCGAGTCAGGCCGCGCTCTGCCGGCCCGCGCCGCGGCGGCGGCGGCCCCGCCCCTCCC